AACCATTGAGTGTCTCCCAATGGGCGGGCTGCAGTCAAGGAGTCTAAGAGAGATAAGTTGTAACTCTGAGGCTTGGAGTTACAAGTGAGCACAACTCTTGAGATACTCTTTATCTCTGCTTACACAGGCCCTTCTTAAGTAGTGTGTACCCTTATCTACATGTATAAAGTCAACCTACTCTTGGATTAAAAGGAGATTATTAAGGCTAAAACTCTCAGTCCACTAATGTCAACAGAATCCATTTCATTCTTGCTCACAGGATAAGACATGATATGAAACCTGAATTCCCATACCCCTGAAGCCCTCTCTCTTCTCTGTAATTTATGTTGGAAGCAAAAAAGAAAAGAACCAACATGCCCTTCCTACACACAGTATCACTCTCCATAAAACTGAAATTTCACCCTCAGAGCCCATTATTTGAGCATACTCATTATGCTTCTGAACACCTTTTTGAAGTATAAGAATGTTACCAAATAGAATAAACATATCTGGTAAAGGGAGTCATTAAAAATATAGCAGTAATTAGTTTATCGAGTTAGCTAAGCTCCTAGGACTAGTAAACTGTGCTAAGTACCTCTGTTGCTTCCATGATAACAAACTTAAAGAGAGCCAAATCAAGAATGAACTGTCATTCATAATTGCTACAAAGAGAATAAAATACCTAGGACTACAACTAACAAGGAACATAAAGGACTTCTTCGAGGAGAACTACAAGCCACTGCTCAATGAAATAAGAGAGGACACAAACAGATGGAGAAACATTCCATGTTCATGGTTAGGAAGAATCAATATTGTGAAAATGGCCATACTACCCAAAGTAATTTACAGATTCAACGCTAACCCCATCAAGCTACCAATGACCTTCTGCATAGAACTGGAAAAAAACACCTTAAACATCATAACAAAGCGGGAGGCATCCCACTACCAGACTTCAAACTATACTACAAGGCTACAGTAATCAAAACAGCATGGTACTGGTACCAAAACAGAGTAGACCAATGGAACAGAACAGAGGCCTCAGAGGCAACACAACATATCTTCAACCATCCGATCTCTGACAAACCTGACAAAAACAAGCAATGGGGAAAGGATTCACTGTTTAATGAATCATGTTGGGAAAACTGGCTAGCCATGTGCAGCAAGCAGAAACTGGACTGTTTCCTGACACCTTACACTAAAATTAACTCCAGATGGATTAAAGACTTAAACATAAGACCTAACACCATAAAAACCCTAGAAGAAAATTTAGGTGAAACCATTCAGGACATAGGCTAGGCAAGGACTTCATGACCAAAACACCAAAAGCATTGGCAACAAAAGCCAAAATAGACAAATGGGACCTAATCAAACTCCACAGCTTCTGCATGGCAAAAGAAACAATCATTAAAGTGAATCAGCAACTAACATAATGGGAATAAATTTTTGCAATCTACCCATCTGACAAAGGGCTGATATTCAGAATTTACAAAGAACTAAAACTGATTTACAAGAAAAAAACAAACAAGCCCATTCAAAAGTGGGCAAAGGGTATGAACAGACACTTTACAAAAGAAGACATACATGAGGCCAACAAACATATGAAAAAATACTCATCATCACTGGTCATCAGAGAAATGCAAATCAAAACTACATTGAGATACCACCTCATGCCAGTTTGAATGGCAATCATTAAAAAATCTGGAGACAACAGATGCTGGAGAGGATGTGGAGAAATAGGAACACTTTTACACTGCTGGTGGGAGTGCAAATTAGTTCAACCATTGTGGAAGACAGTGTGGCGATTCCTCAAGGACCTAGAAATAGAAATTCTATTTGACCCAGAAATCCCATTACTGGGTATATATCCAAAGGACTATAAATCGTTCTACTATAAGGACACATGCACACCAATGTTCATTGCAGCACTGTTTACAATAGCAAAGACCTGGAACCAACCCAAATGCCCATTGATGATAGACTGGACAAGGAAAATGTGGCACATATACACCACGGAATATTATGCAGCCATAAAAAACAATGAGTTTGTGTCCTTTGTAGGGACATGGATGGACCTGGAAACCATCATTCTCAGCAAACTGACACAAGAACAGAAAATCAAACACCACATGTTCTCACTCATAGGTGGGTGTTGAACAATGAACACATGGACACAGGGAGGGGAGCATGACACACTGGTGTCTGTTGGAGGGAAAGATGGGAGGGACAGTAGGGGGTGGGGAGTTGGGGAGACATAACATGGGGAGAAATGCCAGATATAGGTGAAGGGGAGGAAGGCAGCAAATCACACTGCCATGTAAAAAAAAAAAAAAAACAGAAAAGAAATTAATTCATTCAGATCTTCCTATAGTGTCCTTTCTAATTAACTGCAATACTTTTTAAATCTAATTTTTATTTCTAGGCCTGTAATTTGCTTTGCTATGTTGGAGCAGTTTTCAAAACTAAAATTTCTAAACTCTTCAAAAAATTCTGATAACTTCTTGGTATGTTTATTACAATGTCCATGCTTATACTTACTGCCAAAACTGCTAATGCTTTGTGTAATATGTCTCCTAAAAATGGACTATTGCTGTTATAGTTTATTGGCTTTACTTTTATTTTATTTTCTGGTTATAAAAATAACAACTACCTTGAAAAACTTGGGTCACCAGTAAAACACATAAGAGTGGACTTCCCAGCTATAACCACTGCTGATATTTTGCATTGGATTCCCTTATATGTAATTTCATATGATTTTGTTTGACATTATACACTATGCACTTTCCAAGTCATTAAATGTTATCTGAAAGCATGACTTTAGTAACTGCATAACATATTATCAAATTGCTTTATATCATTTATATTCATTTCCTTTTGGTTTCTTATACCACTTTGGCATCATGTGGGAAAAGGGAGATTTTCTGATTTGGTTTTCTGGTAAAAAAAAAAAAAGAGTGGGCTTGGCTTACAATGTAACAGTGGCAGGAGGAGGCCAGCAAATCTATTGAGCCAGCGGGGAGTGAAGCTGAGCCTGGCCTCACATGCTGTTAGAGGACCACCGCCTGAGAGAGTTCTTTCGCCCCCTCTTCTTTCTCCAAGCTCCCCTCCTGCTCTCCTTCCCTGCCCAATACAAAGCATTCTTGAGTGGCAGCATCTGGACTCCAGGGAGCCCCAGAGAACTTAAGCAAGCCAAAGAGAGAGGCCTGGGGCCAAGACACTGGTGGGGGAGATTGGATATGCCTGGCTTTCTTTGAGGACATCTTTGGAGTGAGGGTGGCCTTGGGGTGGGGCCTTGTGCTGCAGGGAATACAGCCAGGTCCCAAGATAGACACTTCTGGGCACTTTCATGACTCGGGGGTGGGGGACCTGGATGAAGACCCCAAGTGCCCCTGTCCATTTTCTGGGGATGAGCAGCAGCAGCCACCACTACCACCACCAGTGCCACCAGCAGCCCCCAGGACCCTTGCTGCAGCCTCAGCCTCTGCAGCTTCAGCAGCAGCAGCAGCCACCGCATCCCCTGTATTAACTCGCCCAACTCCAGAGCCAGCCCGTCCACCCTGGCCTGCTGCACTCCTCTCCCACCACTTTCAGGGCCCCTGCTTCATCCAACTCCACTGCCATCCTCCACCCTTCCTCCAGGCAAGGCAGCCAGCTCAATCTCAATGATCACTTGCTTGGCCACTCTCCAAGTTCCACAGCTACAAGTGGGCCTGGCGGGGGCAGCCAGCACTGGCAGGCTGGCCCCCTGGTGCACTGGCAGGACAGCAACCCCTTAGTGGAGATTTCCATAAGCTCCTGCAAGTATAGCAGTGGGGTCATGAAGCCCCTCAGCCACCTTAGCACCTCCCAGAGGAACCTCATCGAGGCAGAGACTGAGGGCCAACCCCTCCAGCTTTTCAGCGCTAGCAACCCCCCAGACATAGTTATCTCCTCCTGGGAGGACAACCATACCCACCAGATCCTGCTCCATCACCCTAATGCCACCCACAACCACCGGCATGCTGGCACCACTGCCAGCAGCACCACCTTCCCCAAAACAAAAAGCAGAAAAAACAAAACATTGGCTATAAGCTGGGACACAGGAGGGCCCTGTTTGAAAAGAGAAAGTGACTGAGTGACTATGCTCTGCTTTTTGGGATATTTGGAATGGTTGTTATGGTGATAGAGACCAAGCTTTCTTGGGGTTTGTACTCAAAGGTAGGAGCTGTGGTTTCTCTTTATATCTTGAACAAAAGGAATATGTAGGTAGCAAGACAGAGATAGAGAGAGAGGGATTGAGAGAGAAAGATTGAGAGAGAGACATTGAGAGAGAGATTGGGAAGGAGGCTGGAAGAGAGAGGTGGTGGTGGTGGTGGTGAAAGGCACTTGCTCAGTTATATTGAACACTCTAACTTCTTGTGGTTTTCCTTCTTGATCCTGGGAGAATTCATTCCTCGCTTCCTTTGATGGGTAGGGGACATGCCCACACACTGTATCTAATTTGCAGACTCTCTGTTAGGGAGGATTAAAGAATCTCTTCTGAGAAAAAAAAAGAGAGTGGGTGTGGGTTCAGGCATGGAAAATAGAGATCCAATTGCCTGACAGCTTTGAAGTGGATCTTCCCCTTCCTGAACGTATTCAGCTTGCTGCGGGTTTCCCAAGTGAACAAGGATTGGGTTGCAGACAGCAATTACCTGTGGAGGGCACACTCTCGGCAGAGATGGGACTGCAGCAACCTCACTGATCAACACCTGGGTGCACACACGTGGAAGCAATTTTTCCTGCACCAAAGAAGGAAGGAGCTTCGGTTGTCATTGGCACAGCCACATAACTTTATCTACAAAATAACTAAGAACACTGCATATGAAGTGGGTTTGGCTTATCTCTCAGGAAATAGCTTTACAATGGATGAACAGGAGAAGTCAATCACTTGTAGTGTATATGCAAAGAGCGAGCTTTGTGCCTGGGATGTGCAAGAGGGCACCATGATCTGGTCAAGCCCATTCCAGAAGTTCCAGTTCTCAAATCTGATAACTCTCCCTCAGATGCATCTCGTCATCCCTGCAGATAGGAGCAAAATGATCAAAGTGTGGAATTGTCAGGACAGGGATCTTCTGGCCTCTCTCCCCATGCCAGCACTCTGTTATTGCATGGAAGCCCATCTCACTAAGGATGGCCCATTCCTGATGGTTGGTGACGCTGCAGGTGACATCTACACATTTACACTGCCTGGGTTAAGAGATGTTTCTAAAGTTACTGCATTTCAATATGCTATTGTACTTCTACACTGCTATCCTGACAAGAAATGGGTATTTGCATGTGGGATATATACTCGTAACTTTCCACAGGTGTTTCTCGCAGAGGACTTACGGAGACCATCAGAAGGCAGCGTTCCTCTATCTACTTTTCTCCTACATAAATTCTGCACCACTGCCTGCTGGAACCCAAAGATGAAAAACAGGATAACACTGATGTCCCAAACTATTAAAAAAAGACAGAATTTATCATCTTTGATCTAACAACCAAGAGGACTGGAGGCCAAACAGTCGTCCAAGCATATGAGATCTCAAGTTTCCAGTTGGCACCTCATCTGGAGCACCCTAAATGGATAGGAGCCAGTGATGGATATTTGATTGTCTTTCCCAGTGGGCCATACTTGCTCCTCTTCAGCATCACTGGCTTCCTGCTGCAACAATTTCAAGACCACCAGACAGCTATCAACAACTTCTGGATGGATGCTCTCTATGTGCTCACCACATCTGCTGACTCTATGCACCTGTACCTGTGAGAAGAGGGAGGCTTTTTTTTTAAAGATTTAAATGATTTTTTATTTCAGTAAAGTTTAACAAACAATATATAATATTTCTTTCTTAAAAAGCTCATTCAAAGATCATAGACTTCTTCCCTTTTGTATTTTAGTTGGGGAGATAAATGCAAAAAGAGGAAATGTAAGATTTCTTACAGTCATTCTGAGAGCCTCTGGTTTCATGCTTTACTTTCCCAGCTAAAAGTTCCTAATTTACAAAGCTCAGATACTGAAACTTCAAAATCAAGATCCATTTATTAGGATGTCCTGCTGTCACAGTGATGGTGGCCCATTGTGTTGGAGTCTGGTAAATGGCCACAACATACGTTCTAGGGACATCCATGAGTCCTCTTCCTGTGTGGGAGTGGCATCCACAGCCTTCTGGAAGAATTGGTCTGTGAGGAAGCTCATCAAAGCTGCAAACATTACAATGAATGCAATAGAAAGCCAAATGGCCTTATTAGCTTCTCTGATGGAGGACTTGAGATATGTTGCCCAAGAAGCCATCATGTCATAAACTGAAGAGACATCCCGCCTTGATGGATAATTTTTCTTTTCAGAAAGACTTGGCTTCCTTGTCCTTTCTACTATTTCTTCTCCAGGTGACTCTGAGTCATCTTTAGTTTTTAGTTCACATTTTTCTTCTTCAGCATCTGCCCAGGAATAGGTGCTAATAAGTCGAGGTAATGAGGGACAGTGTTCACTCTGCTTTGACCCCAAATATACCAACTGCTTGACCTCCTACTGAATCGGTCATTATTTTCCATCCCAGCCACCATTCCTGCAGTTCCAATATTTCTGGGTAAAGAGGCAATAGTCACTCTTCGAAGGGAAGAGGGCTTGGAGTTTAGAGAAGCTGAACCTTTTTTAATTGGGCAGTCATCATCGTCTTCAAGAGGATTGAAAGATCATTCATTCTGCAGAAGGACCTGTTTCATTTCTTCTAAGTCAGCATGCTCTTTGGCATACATCTTCTTCAAGTTTTCTACATGCTGAATCATCACCTCAACTGCTTTACTAACCCGGTTTTCCTGATTGATGGCTCCCAACATCTCAGCCCTACTGGCCACTCAAGCTGCGCACTGGCTTAGAAACTTTATGCTCTTCTCCAGCTTCTTAATGATTTCCTGTGCCTGGTTGTCGTCTTTACACAGAAGTGTTAAAGACTCTAATAGTTTTAAACAGTTAGTGATTTCTTTCTTCAAATTTTCTTCTGCCAAGTCATGGGACCTCTCTTCAAGCTTCACTCTCTTCTCCAAGGTAAACCAGTCACACTTAAATCCCAAAGATAATCTGAGAAATTCTGCCTCAACCTCCTTCTCATTAGCAGAAGTGTTGTCACTCTGTCTAAAGTTAACTGATTTCACAGTGGTTACAGAAAGAGGGGAAACCGCAGAGTCTCTTAAAGCATGTTCTTTTTAATATTCTTCTATTGTTTCTGGTTTCTCTTTGGCTTCCAGATTTAATATGGTTTTATTCTTACTCATAGAGTCTTGGAATGCAGTAATATCATGAGCTGAACTTGTGCCTTGGGCCTCTATCATCAGAGAAGCTGATCTTGTGTCCTCCTCTTTCTTACTGTCAAGGTCACAAGTAGCCATATTCAGAATTTCTAATCCAGGATCACTCGAAGTTATAGTACTGTCTGTCAATGAAGTGAGTCTGGGTAACAGTAGTGAGGAATGTTCCCTGGACTGCAGCAGGCTCTCAGAACACATGCATTCAACAATATTCTCTTCCATACTTGGCTCATCATTCATTCTGATGCAGCCTAAGATATTTGTTCCTTGGTTGGGGTCACTTGTGGGGCCCAGGCACTTGTGTTGTCTTGTTACATCCAAAGAACCATCCTTTACTTCTCCATATGCGGGCCTTTCACATAAAGCATGAATTCGGTGGCTACACCTGAGAAGGGTGTTGATTCCAGTGTTGGAACTGCTGTAAAACTATCCAGAGACAAGGCAACCAGCAGAGGTGTGTACCAGCATGTATGTTTCAAGTTCAGGGGTGTCTGATGTATTCTTGCTTCTTGACCACCATAGAGTTTGTGGCAACACTGCTTTAATTTTTCTTGAAGAGGCTGTTGAATTGCACTTTGGCAGGAGAGGGAATCATAGTGAGGAAATTCCTCATCTAAATAGCTCTGAAACTGCAAGCCATGGTGTTCCCCTTCAATTAACTTTTTTCAAAGTGACTCAACTGTTGTTTTCAGTTTCCTTGTCTTCTGCTGAAGTGCCTGGCAAGTATTCAGTAACTCAGTATTTACAGTTTGAAGGTTCCGTTGTTCACAAATTGCTTCCTCTAATTTATGCCATAAATATGTAGCTTTTTCACTGGCAGAGTGGGCTTCTCAGTCTCGATCCTTAAAGTGCTCCTCTGCATCCTCCAGCCATTGGCTGGCTTCTTGGAACCTCTTCCTAAAGATGCCTTCCTGCTTGACAGCATCTTCTTGCAGTTGTTTATTGGCTTCTAGTTGTTTCTGACTGGCAAGAAATTCTTTTCTGAAATAAAAATATTCCTGCCTGAATCTTTTCAAAATCTCTATTAACTTGTCAAATTCTTTGTCAAGAGACTCTTTGTGCTTTCCCAAGATGTTTGGCATTAAAATACAAAGATTTAGTTTCTCTTCCATGATATGCTTGAATTCAGTAAGCTGTTCCTCCCACTTTTTGTTCACAGTAATTTCTGGATTAGTTACCCACGGTTGAGAGCTTTCAGTGAGGGTTGCAATTTTAGAAATTTCTTCATGCAGCTTCTGAAGCATGGCTGTGAATTCCACTCCCTTTTACTCAGGCTTTCTTAGTAACAGCAGCATTTCTTAATCCATCATGGCATCCAGAGATGACAAGTTGATTACATTGTGCTGCCTTTCAGTTTCATTGTTCTCTGCAGACTGAGCAAGAGTGAGTTCATTATGTAAAGACTTGTCTCCTTCAGAGATGACACTATTATGCTCTCCACTAACGTTCAACTGGATCCCATTTGTGATGACGTCCTGTTGCAAGTGCTGTAACTCATGAGCCAGTTTATTCTTATCTCCTCATAAATTCTCTATAATGCTTCCATATTATATGATGGTTGATTTAAGTTCTTCTATATATAAGCCTTTTTGGTGCTCTGTCTCAGTTTTAGACAACTCCTCAATCTTCTTTTCCAATCTGTCTATATCCATGATGTTCTTGATATTCTCTTCCTGCAGAATCTGAATCTTAAGAATAAGAGCCCAGTTTTCTGTCTCTAATTGTTTGCTCTGGGCTACAATCATGCTCTTCTGCTCTTCTGAAGCATTCATACTAAGTTTCAGTTCCTCCAGTTCTTCTTTTAACAGATTTGTTCTCATAATAGCCTAGTGGGCACTTTTTACCTGATGGTGCAGTTTGGTACAGTCCTCTGATAACTGGCTGTTCGTTTCTTTCAAGGTTTCTAAAGCCAATTGAAACATTATTTTCCTCTTCCAGTTTTTGCTTGTTGAAATGGAGGTCTGCTACATAGGCAATCAAATCAGACACCTCTAAGACTCCTTTAGATGTATCTCCACCGAAAGCCTCAAAACTCCCCGATGTAGAATCTGTTACATCTGTGCTCATCTTCATTGTTCCATTTGATATTATGCCATCCTGTTCAAAAGCAGAATCATCCATGGTGCTGCTTAATCTATGATTCACTCCATTCCATTTGTTTCCACAGTAAGCCGTCCATTCTTTCATCATGGCCTGGAAAGTTTCCAGGTCCACATGTGGGTCTCTCTTCTCAGGATCAAGCATGTTCCACAACTGCTCAAGGCTGCTGTCTTCAGAATTTTGGCTAGTTGTTTGTCTCAGTAAATTGATTATTTTGGCCACTCCTACTGAGCCTTTCTGTTTTCTGTCACATGCATTAAAAATACTTGTGAGTGCCTCTTCTTCACAGGCCCTGACTTTGTGCTGTGGGCATGGGGGGACTGTTCTGGGCTTCTCAATGGGCACCCTGGGCTGAAATGAGGTGGGAGCCAGGGCCTTGTCTCTCCTGGCAGGGTGGTAACAGAGCTTAAGGGAAGAGATTAGAGGTTGGAGACCCTCTAAGGGATGCTCAGGGTTAAGAAACCCAAGACCCTGCTCCTCTCCCCAGACTCCAGATGTGGGTAGGCTGGGTGGGGGCTCCTGGGGTAGTGAGGAGGAGACAGAGGATGAGGGAAGGTCGGCTGACCCCATCCACGGGTTCTCCTGCTTCACCCTATGGCCCAGGCTCCCTGGCATCTGAGGAAGGGAGAGAAACAGGGATCTCTTCTGTTTAGGCATTTAGAACCAAGCACTTCAACTTCCTAAGCACAGGGTTGAGTGGGTGGGGGCCTGGGCCAGAGCTGGGAAGGTGCCTGAATACCAGGACCTGAATACCAGGGGAGCATGGTGGCTCCCCTCAGGCCACAGTGAGAAGGCATCAGATTGGCATTACCTACAGGCTGAAAGGCTCCATCAGTCTGCTAAGGTGCTGAGCAGTACCCTGGTGGTTCCCTGGCTCAGGCCAAGCCCCAAGGTGGCCTCCCAGGGTGGTCAGGCCTGGGCGTCCCCACTGGCATAGGGGGTATGAGTGTGCTCTGTTGTGAAAGAGTATGTGCCAGTGGCAGGCACAGGAGGCCCCAGGGCACCACCCCCTCACCTTCACCTCACATTGCTTCTCCAGCACTCACTAGCGGCGTGTGCCCATACCCTCCGCCCCCTCCCTGGGCCTAAGATG